CCCTCATTGGTCGACCCGGTCCCTCATTGGTCGACCTCGGCCCCTCGGGGTTCAGCGACTCCGGACCAGTTAATACAAGGATCAGACCAGTCGACGCAAGGAATCAGAGCTTCAGGCAAGGATAGAGTAAAGGAGTTAAAAGGATAGGACTATATTAAATACTACTCAATTTGCGATCTACGTGGCACGACTCCGTCACCCAAGAAGAACTTGCTCTAAGTTACTCACTGTTCCGGGAAGGGATATATTTTGGCCCCCCCGTCGAAGACAGTTGTTTAGCGAAGTTCAAGTGCGAATAGAGCTCCAGGATATATTTGGCCTGTGAGCTCGTTCGAGTAGCAACACCCCCCCCCCAAGACCCGCTATCGGAAGCGGTCTCCCTCACCTCAAGGTCCGGGAGCAACGTAAAGGTCAGGTGGTTAATACCCCTGAAACAGAAGGAAAAGGCCAGGGACGACAAGCGCCCCTGAAGAATTTGGCTTTAAGCCCACTCTCGACAAGGTCGATCGAGTGGCCACCTACCGGCCCACCGAGTGAAGCATATCCACTCGAGGCCCCCCAGGTCTACCTCCCTCAAGGCAGACGTCTACATCTTCACCAAGTCCTCCGAAGAGTGCAACCCGCCAGCCGACTGGTACACAAGGTGAGAGAACGTCCATACGCGGCATCGGGGTACCCCCTCCGATAGTCGGCAGTCCGGCACAGTGAGTGGTTTGGGGTCTCATCATACAATTTTGAGAACCCACTCCACCACATCTTCATCCATACATTTGTGCGATGGATCGGTCTCTTCTGTTGATAAGCTGACATTAGATGTCGGCGTTGTCACAGAGACACTAAGCGACGACTGAGAGTTATTGCGGCGCGTGCGCTTTGTGTTGGTATGCGTGGGCGCCTTTGCAAGCGACCCATCAGCCTAGCTACGTTTCAACGGCATCACTTTGTTTTCGATGTTATAAAAATTCCAAATTATTCTTAAAGAGGGGGATGATATAACGAACCAATATTTACACGAGTCTGTTTAGTAGATGATACTTATTGAGCAAGTCTTAAAGGGTACGCGGTGCCTTAGACCTCCCACTTGGGTGTGGCACATCAATGTGACCCACCCTCATGAATGTGATATCCATGGATGGATTCCCATTCGACGAGGATGAAGCCCATTTGGGACTAGGCATCATGATGGCGTCACAGTCTGACGCCATCAGTGACCTTAAGTATATTTAAGCTCGCACGTAAGGTACGCTTCTAAAGAGAAGCGTATCCGATCTTTGCATATTAACCAATCAGTAGCTCGATTAATATTTGATTATTTCCATTAAATATAAGCCAGTCTTGAATTTGCTAAACATAGTTCACTGCGCACCAGAAACTGAATAAGCTTCTTCGTGTCGTAAGTGAAGCACTATGTTTTAGAAGTTTGTTGCGCGGTTCGCTTAGTCGACCGGAACAGTTGATACAGCGCTTCGGCGCCGACCAACACCATCACCACCACACGAGGAGGAAAGACGGTCTAACCTCTTCCCCACGTTGCTTGAAGGTGTGTGCTAGTAGCACTTGGCAGCTTCTTTGAAGTGCCCGTCTACAGTCCAGGTTTTCTCAATCAGCTTAAAAGATTTTTGTAATTTGACCGCACAGGCAACTCGAGCGTATTCAAGACCGTAATTCACTGTACGTGTTATTACTGGCCAATCCGCTACATTTCTTAGAGTGCTGCAACACACGAGCAGCCTGACAGAATCACAGCCCCACCGAGATTCAATCAATTGCCAGTGAACTGCAGCTTATTCTTAACAACAACACGGTGGCGATCGCGTCCTTCGCAGCTGTGGTGAAGTCGGTTAGAAAAATTATCACGTACATGGTATGGATCACATTGTGAAATCACACTTGATTATGCTATAGAATCGATCGGATCAATCAGAATCGTCAAAAATATTTGATTATATTATGGGATCTCTCTGGTTTTATCGGATTGATCGTTTATAATTGTTGCGGGCCAAGTGGAAATAACGACAACATATCAACCTTTTTACGCTTGATCATGATCGTATCTGCGGCAATAATGGATTACAATCGATCTCACTTTGCGATCATGAAAAATTCCGATCGTACCCGCGATCGGGATCTCGATCGATCCTATCGACATGGATACAATCACGATCGGATCGACATGGATGCAATAACGATCGGGTCGACATGGGTACAAAAACGATCACATTGACATCGTCAGAGGGAGATCGAGGCTGCATTGGAGTGTGCCACACATCGAGATCTGATTCTTTTGAAAGGATGACACGTGAAAGAAGATCCTGGTATACAGATTGGCAGCATCGTAGGTTTAGGTTTTGATTGGTTAGCTTCACACAGATTTTCTTATACTTTTAACTACGCACCCAGACTTCTCTTTTGGGTGGGATATTTGCGGGTATCCGACGATCAAGAGCTTCTGCTACCCTAAATACAATTAATATCCCTGAATTGTTTGGCTAGGACTTACAAGACCTCTCACAACAAACTTCGCCTGCGATTGGACGCAGTATCACTTAAAGGACAAGGTACAAGATCGCGAGACGGCTCAAGTGGTCAGTAGGGTCAAGCGTATCAAGTGGATCAAGTATCTACACTTTTGTACAAGGCGATCCCAAGAGAGATCAGGGTGACTCATATAGAGTTCCCCAAGCAACCCTCGATCGCGTGAAGATTTCCGCGCGATCGAACCCCCAACCAATCCCAACTACGGTCAAGTTCAGCATCAGCTCGAGTCCACCGAGAAGAGTTCTACCCGCCCTACCGACGGGTACACAAGTTGAGGAAGGAATTGATTTACATGGAAACGGAGTACCCCCTCCGATAATCGGTTATCCGGGCGCCAGTGGAGAGTCGGGATCACATCAGAAATTTTGTGAGCCCCGCTCCACCTATACACTCAGCAGAATTCACATTACCAGGCGTGTTGCTAGATGATGTGCTCCGCGAGCCACGCGGAAGCCAGACTGTAGGCCGTGGCTCTTTTGATAACGTGTCGTACGCTTTGATGACAGCGTCATGGTACAAGGAGTATTCGCAAGACTCCGTTTTTCAAAACATAGCTGATTTGTCTTCTTTGCTTGTGTGGTCGCATTTAAAGGCACAAGGTCGTGGTAGGATGGTGATTTTCGTGTAGATTGGAGAAGAAAGGCGATGGAGACGCCAAGAGCGCTATAGTCGACGGGGACGCTGAAGACGATGGGACCGCTGAAGACGAACGGAACGTGGAAACAAAGGAGACGCTAGAGACGAAGGGGACGCTGGAAGCGAAAAGAGACACTGAAAGCAACAGAGCGCATGAAAAAGGTGTTGATCGGAATGGCCGCGCACTCCGTAGTCCGTCCTCTACCTCTGCTTGTCGTTCATGTTTATGTAGGACTTTGCGATATGGTATTGATGGCGTCATATGGACTTTTTCACCATATATAAAAGACCTGATCATAGACGATAGTGCCCGAAACGATGCGAATTCTTACTGATTCGAGCCGAAGAATGCTTCAGGTCCTGGGTGACTAACCCACGATGATGATAATGTTAAGTAGTATCGTAAAGCGCTACGGTGCACTTGAAAAAGTGACTTGGTCGAACTGATAAGCATCTACGATGAGAGACAATCTTGCATGCCTTCATTATGAACGACCAGACTTCTTTATAACCGTTGGAAATGGTAGTCACGCCGAACAATAAGCAAATCTGTATTGCCGTTTCGGTGAATACAAGCGTGGCGCTAGATCGTCGAACTTCCTGCAGATTCTTAACGTTTACTAGCTGAGTATCGTAGCCACTTATCCAGCGTGGCGACACAGACACACAAATATTGCTGCATGAATTCAATCAACATGATTGCGCGGTACCTCTTAGACGTCAGCCAGTAGTTGAAGATGACGACAAACACGTCGGTTCCACTACCAAGGTTTGTACTCGTGTTGATGTTGATGTGCCTGACCAGTCGTACAATCGTTCATGGACAAATCAACAAGAATAATAATGAGAGAGAGATCCGAACATCGATTAAGTGCTTATAAATACAAGACATCAGTATGCTTCTACCAGAACTACATCAGTCTTCTCCTCGCTGGCACAGTCTGCTGGCTCTAGACGTCAGGCTTCAAGCCTCCCCCTATTATCTGGGCCCGGACTTCCCGCTCAGAGCAAGAGACCGGTGCACCGGCGATTTGCATGTCTTCGTCTCTTGACCGTCGTTGCTCGAAGGCGTGACATGGGAAGTGCAATGATGAGGCGAGGCAACACTCAAGTTCATTATTGCTGAGAACATCGTGATGAGGCGAGGCATCAATCCAGTTCAAGCCATTTCCGAGTGACATCGGATAGAGACGGAGCCCTTCGCATAGCCGACGAACCCCTTGTGCGGGAAGTCCCTCATTGTCGAGCCAAGGGCCCTCATTGTCGAGCCAAGGGCCCTCATTGTCGAGCCAAGGGAAAAGCGAAAAGTCTTTTTCTCGCTGTGCACGCTTCAAGAGGCAGCACAAGAGAAGCGGTCCGCAGGATATATCCCACGGTGTTGGGTCATTGCAAAAGGTTGCATTTCCCTGCACCAAGGTCAGTTCCTACCCTTCGCGATCTGCCTTCAAGCCGCCGACCAATTCACTAAACGCGAACCCCGGCATATCAAACACAGAGAACTTAGCACGAGGCCCGATACATTACGTCCAGTGGTGCGCCTAGGCATATCGGAGCAAGTTGTTACCTGCAACATACGACTGATTAGGTCCGTCTAAAACTCTTGAAGACATTGAAGACCAGAGCAGTGATACAGAATTTGATTTTGTACACATTTCTCGAGACAACCATTGAATTGGTTTTGACTAGCGAGGTACTCACCACTGCAGCTCTGACAGTCTTAATCGTGAGTGCTGAGCTGTCTATTCCATTCCTTATTCGTAAAATCACCTCTCAGCTGTAGCATGACGGGGTTTCTACATCAAACACGATACACCCCACTCCTCAGCATGACGGTGCTTGTCATTGTTCACTTTCTCATTCAAGTCACGAAAGCCACGAAAGTCAAACTTGATCCAGATGTCGGCAAGTCTACCGTGGAGCTCATCGAAGCCCGCGGTTACGTGGCAGAAACGCATAATGTGACAACAGTAGATGGTTACATCCTTACCATGCACCGCTTACCAATGTCATACAAAGAGTGCAAAGCAGGCAACGACCCCGTTCAATATAAACCAGTCGTGTTGGTTCAGCACGGAATCCTTGATACGAGTTTTTCGTGGGTTTGCAACTTTCGGAACCAAAGTCTCGCGTTTGTGCTTGCCGATGCCGGGTATGACGTGTGGCTTGGAAACAACCGCGGCAACACTTATTCCTCCAACCACGTCAAGTACACGACCGACGATGATGCGTTTTGGGATTATTCGTGGGAAGACATGGGCAAGTTTGACTTGCCGGCCATGATCAAATATGTTCGTAAGATGTCAGGACGCAAGACAATATCGTTTGTGGGGTTCTCGGAGGGAGCAATACAAGCATTTGTTACGTTCTCTGAGGACCAGGAACTTGCTAAGTCGGTGTCGTACTTTGCAGCTTTGGGACCCGTTGCCTGGCTCGGCCATACCAATGGGACAGCATTCAACTTCTTGGCGAAGGCCTACGCGGACACGCTACTTAAGTCCGTCAACCAAGTCAGATTTTTTCCACATAACGAAATGCTGCAAGAAGTCATCGGAGCTACTATATGCACGAAAAATCCCAAGCTGTGTGAGGCGGCGGTCGCGCTCTTTGTCGGCGATTCCGAAAACTGGAACTCGTCTCGCATAAGTGTATACCTCTCAGAGATGCCTGCAGGAACTTCCGTCAAAAATTTGAGCCACTTCGCACAGAATATTCGCAAAGACACCTTTTCAGCGTATAACTACGGCTGCAGTTGTCTCCGCGCGCTCGGAATCAGCATGTGTCCTACGCGCTTTTGTGGGAACAAGGCTAAGTACGGTAGCTTTGACCCACCAGCTTTTCCTGTCAGCAAAATGAAAAACCCTCGCATTGGATTCTTCCGCGGCGAAAGGGACATCTTAACCACTCCAGCTGACATGGATCGGCTACGAGCTGCTTTGCCATCTGCCACAGTTATCCACGACGAAAAGATAAGCAACTTCAGCCACCTTGACTTCATCTGGGCTACCAATGCCAACGAAAAGGTCTACCAATCCCTACTTGAGCAGCTTAATCGATACGACGGCCACGGATACTGATACGAATGGAAGGAAGAACAACATTCAATATTAGCACATCATTAGAAAGATAAGGAGCAAGCCATATTTCTACCTGTTGCACCCCCTACATAGAACAATGACAATAGTTCCTGAGCAACTGTATCAGAAGGATCTGTCTTCATCGCTTTGCTCCTACTCATTGCTGTCCTGCCGCTGTATCATCTCGACCGACGTTGGGACTGAGGTGATTCATCTGAATTTGTGCGGGCGCTTTAATTACCACCGTGAGGTAAAAACTTCGTAGATACTTGAGGCACTACTGCAGGCATGGAGTCTACTTTAGTCAACTGACTCTTGTTGCCACACAGAGCTTAACGCTTGGTGCTGTGACGTGGACGGCTAGAGGCGAGACATGACTCTCAAGAGATAGAGAATTCACCAGCAGGAATCATTGGCCACGTACCAATCGATCGGATAAAGCACGAAAACTCAACATATACACACCACACTTTTGGCTTACCACTTCCTTACAATTCCTTGACCTACTTGGCCATCGCGACGAAGAGATCATCTTGCTGGTACATCAGATGCGTAGCATAGTCACCGATCGATGCTCCGATTGTACCGTTGATTCTCATCAGTAATCCACCTGCCAGCGTATGGATTATTGTCGCAATGGCCTCCGGGCTCAACAAGCTCTGCACGGCAGCGTTCATACACTTATCAACCGATGCATGTGGACATAACTTCACATGATCGTCGCAGCATGAGCCACGACAGCATGAGAAGCAGCTATTGGTATTTGCAGGGATAAAAATCGGATGGAACACTGCAGGAGCGAACCGAGCCAGAGAGTTGTCAAAGTACTTCTTGCACACCAATTTGCCGTCACCACCTATCAGAAGGAAAATGGTGATTATCACTGAAGCCATTAGTAGACATCGTAAGATTCACACGCACCTAAAATCTGGTCTTCACAAGGGTACAGCTCCATGTCAATTGCTGTAACCATAATACTTTCACTAAACGGATTTCGCAGCTCAAGAGATATGGGGATATGCGTCGGATGGAAAATTGGCGGAATGTATAACAACGATGAAGTGACAAGAGTTGGCGTTAATGGAAACATCTCGGCCAAAGTAGGCAATTTCGAGGGGATCGAAAGAACCTTCAGCGCTGGTCGAAGTAGATCGAGTGACGTGCTTGCTGCGGATCCTTTGATAACAATCTACGACCAAGAGCAGCAAAACACATGAGATCATAGAATTACAAAGTCAACTTACAGAATAATACCTCCTGAGCAGCCCCGTGCGTGTAGTAGCCGGACACGAAGTTCGACAGGAACCTTTCTGCAGTTGCAAGATCACTTGGCAGCGGTTTGTATTCAAAACTACCTCGGAGAATCGTCAGCTTGTCGCAGCAATTCAGACTAAAATCTGAGATCATTGCAGAGCCCATTCGAACTCCATCGAAAAACACATCCAGCGCGAGCGAGCCCAGCTTTGCTAGCACAATAGAGGGATTTTGTAGAGAAAATTCCATCGACATGATCATCGACTGCTTAGACCCTTGCTGAATGTCGACACTAAGGATCTTGACCGGCGGATGGCGAAAAGAATCCATTGCTGGAATGAGCGGTGCACCAGCAACCGGAATGTTACGAAGAGCAAGCATCCCCATTCTCGTTATAATATCCGGAAACGCTCCTTGGTTCGCACCCAAGTCGCTTTTCAGTCGCATCATGATACTTTCATTCTTCGTGAGCAAGTCTTTAATAAAACCAGACATATGCCCGACGTCATCGTAGTTGTTAAAACCAATCGGATAATAGTGGCTCATATTCAATAGGAATGCACCATGATCCGACTGATTGAATTCACAGGTCTCACGGGCAGAAACTAATGAGCCAAGGTGCTGACTATTTTCATTTTCGAGGGTAACTGCAATCGACAGATTTGAAATCTGCAATGGAATGCCAATGGTGTGTGGCATCTTCACACTCGCTTTCATATCTGCACGAACCTGCATACGCGTATTGGTCGTCGGCCCTCTCTCACCAGGCGGAGACTTGTCTAAAATAACATCAAGCTGTTTCATCTTAATTTCCGAGATCATCTGGAAGCCCTTCCCGACTCCTGGAAAGCTAGTTCCAATCGTTAATCCCACCAGCGCCTCCCGCATCCAGATACAATTGCTGTACTGCGTGCCTGTAATTTTAACAACAACTTGCGAGCTATTTCCATTCAGATACCTAGAAAAAAAATCGGCCACGGCGTCACTCACTTGGCCTGTCGCGTCCTTGATCGGCTTCAAGTGACCGTTCATATCCAGCCTGTTCCTTCCAGGGGCCAGATGCATCGTACCATGAAGTTCTCCAAACTTCTCTCGGGATGCATTCAAACTCAAATCCATCCAGAATGTACCAATAGACACTGTAAATACAGACGGGTTACGAATTTGAACTTGAGTCTGAATCGGTTCTTCGTGTTCTATCGTGCTACCAGTTCCTGGTAGACTAAAACTCTCGACAGTCACATTTTTAAAATTATTCATTCCACTCAACAAAGCGATGGCGTGAAGAGACAAGCCGAACAGCTTGAGTTTTCCTGCGAAAAAACACACACACGGAAACGTCGTTAACGAAAATGACAAGCATATCCTTACAATCGTAACAACATACCTAAAGCTCCTTGGCAAACCACATCCATGTTTCCAGCAAGAGTCAACGAAACCTTCTCCTTCACGACGGATGCTCGAACGAACTTGCCAAAGGCCTTTCCCCCTTCCGCAAAGTCAAGCTTCGTCAAACAATCGACTGAAATATTGCGTCGACCAACTAGTTCTCCGTCAATAATATCAACGGACACCGTTGACAGCGTCCCTAGAGCCAAGCCAGCGCCAGTAAGACTCACGTTCATGTGCACATCCGTGACCGTCAAAACTGAACTAGGTCCTAACGGACTCGTCGCTTCTACCAATACTGCAGTATCAAGCCGTACAATATCGTTCTCCTTGCCCTCTGCGGGAGGATACAAGGAAATACCTTGGAGAAATATATTCTCAACAAGTGGGTCTTTCTGCGGCGGCAGTAAGCTTTTGATCGTCAAGTTCTTCATTGCTTGGTTGTACAAGTCCACCGATGAGGCCCGAGACTCACACATTACGACCGTAAGCGCTGCCGACACATTGCTCAAATATTTGGTAATCAGTCCACTAATCGCTTCCGAGTTCACGCCGAGCATTTGTCCCTGCAGTTCCAGCAAATTATACCCCTTGCTCATGTCCGTCGTCCCCTGTAACGACGCACAGAACGGATGCGACGGTTGTCCGTCAGCAATCGACAAACCCGTATCCGCCGATGTTCTCAAGTGCGCCACCAACGTACCCTCCCCTAATCGTGGATAATGAGCATTTAGACATAGTGCTCCCACCGGTCGAATCGTCGTGATCGATGGATTACGAATGCACGTCTTGATCGTTGCCAACACCTTTTTCTGCGTCGAATTATCCATGTTTACCTGAGCAATCTGCATGTCTTGAAGTCCATTTATCCCCTTCAACGTCATACTCTTGTGCAACGGAATATCTGACGCACTAAAGGTCACAAGTCCTCTCAATAGTCGAACGTGAATGATCAGAGAACTGCTAATCTGATACTGAATCTGAGAGAGTTTCATCATGTCTCCTGCAAAGTGGTTCCAAGCCTTTTTGTCCTGAATCTCGAGCGTGGAATTCGAAAAAACCAGTTCATTCATACCGTGTCTCATGTGCATCACAGGGGCTTGAAAACTTCCAACTATAACGTCCTGGTACGCAATAACAAACGTCGTGGCGTCTACCGTCGCAGGGAACGACGACATCACCTCGAGACTCAGACTCAGATTTAGCGTTACAGATGTAGATTCTGGATGACTCAGATCCATCTTTGTCACGTGCATAACCGTGTCTGTAATGGCTTGGGAAGCAATGCGAGAGATTTGACTCGAGATGAGAGTGTAACTGATGCCCAAGAGAAGTAATACAGCGCCCGAGATCATTACTAGACGACGACGATACCACGGCTTTGTCTTCTTCTTCTTAATTAAAGCATCGTGCTGTTCCAGTAGCGGCTGGCGGGACGCCAATTGCTCGTCCAGCTCGAGCTCCTGCTCGTCCAGCTCGAGCTCCTGCTCGTCCGTCATATTGATATCAACTGATTCTAACGACGAGAATAGGTTGTCGGTTTTATCGGATATTTCGAGATAAAATGACAAGTATGCAGATGGATATACCGTGGGATCTTACAGTATCGGTATACCGGTATCCTACTGGATTGTTATCAAGGTGGGTGTAAGCAAGGAATGCCCCGACCTATGGATAGCGGACCAATGAACGAGAGTCACGAGGAACAGGAAAGCGATGGCCCAGGTTTCTCCGTAGGGACGACACTAGTGGCACGATGGATGGGTAAAATCGACCGCACGTGCGTCGTAATCGATCGTAGTACGTGGTGGTGTCCGTCTTGAAATGATTTTACCATTTGACTCGGACATATTATAACGCCCACTCACTTGATGCCAGCGACACTAAGCAATGACCGGTTTAAATACTACGTCCACTGGCATGACGTAAGTTGTATTTGTCATGTATTGTCACTTTTTATAGTATTAACTAGATGTCAAATTTGTAGTTTAATCGTCGGATGGACGAGTGGATCAATGAACACGAAATTGTACGAAGAGGCACTGACGAAGAGACTCAAAAGCTAAAGGAGAAAGATGCCAAGGAGAAAGAAAAGGAACAACGAGCCAAGAATCGTAGTCAAAGCAAAACACCTGCTCCCAGTGAAGCTGCTATTGCTATTGCTACTACTACTACTACTACTACTACTATTGCTACAAGCGCAGACGGTCCGACCCGAACACGAGGACAGAAGCGGAAGACGCCAGAAGATCAGGACTTTGCCCCTCCAGAAGAAGAACATGATGAACATGAAGGCATGGATGCTGCTAGTATTCGAGAGCACGAGGAGGTCACTAAAGTAAAGGTAGCGTGGCATGTAGCATACAATACTCGTGCTGTCGTGCTGTCGGATTGAAAGTTGTTTGACGAGGTCTTTTGCTATGTGATTTGTTTTGAGACAGAATGTGCGGTTTGTCGAGATGGGGCGATATCGAATGGCAGCTTGGTACTTTTCACCTTTTCCAAAAGAGTATTACCCGGACGGATCTATCGATTGTGTACGTGTTGATAGTACATATATCACGTCACTAGGAGTCTTTCTTTACTTGTCATCTCTTTCTCGATCTCGTGTAAGTAGCTATATTTCTGCGAATTCTGCATGGCGTTTTTCTGCTACAAGCGTGAACTGACAGTGCACCAAGAGCGTCGCATATGCAACCGTGTAAGTTAATATGACGGATGCGAGTGGATATCAATAATCTAACTTCTGTTTTTGTTTGTCTTCGATGGACTGATTGAATAACAGCACCCGCCAGGCAACGAAATATACCGACACGAGAACTTGAGCGTTTTTGAAGTGGATGGTGCAATCTCCAAGGTTTACTGCCAAAATCTCTGCTACCTTGCCAAGTATGTCTTATAGATGAGTCAAATGATGTAAATTTTGACTAATTGACTCTAGAATGTTTCCGACGTAGGTTGTTCCTGGACCACAAAACGCTGTACTACGACGTTGATCCGTTCCTGTTCTATATTATTTGCGAAGTCGACTCGCGCGGTTTCCACCCGGTGGGCTATTTCTCCAAGGAGAAGTATTCAGAACTGGGTTACAACCTGGCTTGTATTCTGACATTTCCGTGCCACCAACGCAAAGGCTACGGCCACTTCATCATCCAGTTTTCGTACGAGCTGAGTAAAAAGGAAGAAAAGGTGGGGTCACCGGAGAAGCCTCTCTCGGATCTTGGTCTTGTGAGTTATCGTAGCTATTGGACGCGCGAGTTGCTTCGCATTCTTCGGGATTATCCGGAAAAAGAAGTATCTATTATGGAGCTCACAAAGGTATGTTGTATTCTCGTTGCTAACTGCGTGGCTGAAGCGACTAGTATCTTACTTCCCGTATTCTCTGCTTTTAGATTACATCTATCAAGAATGAGGACATCATCGCAACGCTGCAGCATCTCAATATGATAAAGTATATAGGCGGACAGTATGTTTATGTCGTACCCAAGCAAATCGTAGACGCGCACCTGGCAAAGCTGACTAAGAAGGGTCCACAGGTCGTTCCTGAAAAGTTGCACTGGGCACCACTGCACCTGGACATAAAGCGTGATAAGTGGTCACTGAAGGCAATGACTGCCGACAAGGAGGATTAGAAGATGCAGCGAGAGTTTTCGTTATTCGTGTTAGGTCCTTAATGGTGAATGTCGGCGACTTCATGCGTTTGATGATTTGCACCTCGTTAGCGGTGGCTTGATGCTCCGTGGATTTTCCTGTTTGATTATATAGCACGACGCACAGAATTATTATATACATTATACTCAATAGATTTCAGTCATGGCCTACAGATAAATGTTGAACGTATTGCTAGCAGCAGCTACTTCTTCTGGTTTTGTTTCCCCCTCTGCGCTGCGTGTGCTTCACGATTAATGCGAAGATCTCGTATTTGCACCATAAGTGGTCGTGCTGCACGTCTTGCACGTTCATTAGCATTTCGAATCTGCAGTCGTGCTTCCCGCGGATCATCTGTTTCCAATGCATGTTGGCGAGTTTGCGTTCTCGCGCCAGGCGGTTGCGTCGTGATCGTGGGCTCCTCCGCTTTGATCCATATGCGTAGCGAGATCGACTGCAAAGCACCAGGTTTGCAATTGCTGCGTCATACGACTAGGCAAAAAACCCGATCGTGGTCAAACCACGATTTCCTGCATATCACGCGAGACTGGAAGTAGAGTGCTGATCCGCTAGCAAGAGAAGCTCTACAGCAAGAAAAAGGTGTGATCGTTGTTTTTAATCAAGATCGTCAGGACCTGATCATACTTAATCGATTCAATGAGTTGTTGATTATAAGTCAGTTTAATCAGGTAGTCAAGTGGCCGCGATCACCCGATCAGCCATGAGAAGTCTGTCAGCCAGAAGTCGTACAAGAGGAGATCGTGCAGTAAGTGCAGATCGATCGTATAAGACAAGCGCAAGATACAGAAAGTTTAGTATCCGTTTTGAAGGCATACTTTATCGGGGACGTCGCCAGGATAACAGCATAAGAAGCGAGGATGTAGCGGAGCTGCACAGCTCTTTAGCCAGAGGAAGACTTTCGGCTGGAAGCCTCTTAGTTCTAGAGAACTAAATAGAGTTAAGGCTAAAAGCCACTTAGCTCTAAGGAACTAATTAAACGACTTAAAGTCACCCTGTTCTAAGGAACTAGGAAAGAGACTTTAGTCAGCAAGCAATAAGCTTAAGGTTCAGAGAACCAACGCACAGAGTGAAAGAACAAGCTAGAAGCTTAGGGGTTTAGAGAACCAACGCACGAAGTGCACAAGAGAACAAGTTAGAACGACTTGCAATCTTAAACTCAAAAGGAGAACTGATTTTATTTATGCTTTAAGATTTTATGAATAGTCCTACTCTAAGTACACTAGATTAATTACTATAATAGTAATTATTATATGCAGACTTTGCTATTGGACGACGTATCGTCTAAACATCTGTGTATGATGTACTTAATACAGCGTTAGTGATTTATCGAATCTCAATCGATAAGATACGGTATTACCGAATACCGTATCTTAACGCTCATACTTAATACCTCTCTATAGAGAAGTATAATAATGCATTATATGCAATACAAAGGGGAGTTTAACCGTAAACTCTCGGAAAGACGCTACAACCGTGGTGTAACCCCGTTACACCCTCCCCCACCAGACTGACGTTCCCATAGAATGTCACTCGACATTTTTCCTCTTAGAGGTAGTGCTTTAGCGAACGCTTAAAACCTCACGGTTTGTTCACGGCACATAACATGACGCCTCCCGGCAGTGATTCACATACTCTTCGGGACCTCATTGAAGACAACATTGACGAAGCGGTTGATTACGAAAGTGACACCGTCTTTGTGGGACCCGATGGGTCCCCTTTAGCCACCCTCACGGGTGAAGATGACACTAGTCATGCACCGAATCCGTTCCCTGAACGTGGTGATGCAGATGCGCTAACAGCGTTACGTGACCCGCCTGACGTATCATCAACGGTAACAGTTACCAACCCACTCGACGAGCAGCAACAGCGGACCATCTACCAAGAGGAAGGCGCCAAGCGCCGGACGAAGAATATGACGAGACTGCAGGACCACCGACAGTACAGGTTCAAGCCACCTACGGTGGAAGAACGCCTAAAGGAAGCATCTGGGCATTCCCTTTCTGGTTGGACCATTGGGCCTGAGGCCATTTCACCTGAGGATGTTGCCACGCGCACGGCACTTCGACAACGATATCTGAAACCCCACATCACTACACAAAGCCAATACTTGGCACGCCTTAACATGCAAGTGCGCGGTGCGCCAGTTCCTCCCATAAAGGGTGTTCCCATCCTTCTGTTCGCAGGGGAAACCGAGGACGAAGAAGACACGGCTTTCAGCCGCTGGGCGCATTATGCGCGATGTTTAAGCAGCATATTGGCCCTACGGGCAAGTGCCGATGTGTCAGATGTTCGACTCGAGCGGAAGATGCGTTACGATTACGCTAAATTGAAGGCCCGGGGAAAATTAAAATATCAATGAACGCATTATGCGACTGCTACCCAGCAGCCCAATGTTTCGGCTACCCCTGTAGCCGCGAGTCCACGACAGGCCGAGGCCGCTAACCCGCCTACCCTCACCATTACTGGTGAGAAGCGTCAGCGCCAACAGGCGGACCCTGCGCACGACGCTCAAAAACGTCCACGGCGTATGGGCAGTCTCAAACTCCCATGAGTTCCACGACTCGGGACAACCCCGCCGCTTTACCAGATACTGGTTTTGACCATGGCGGCGACGCTTCTGCAGTAGACGCTCCACATGGAACTGTAGGTTCCCCTGCGCATCGAGCAAAGCCGGAGGAGGCCGGTGTATCGGCACAAGCTCATGCCGAGCTTGTTCAAGAGGTGCGGTCCCTTCGTGAGGAGAGGCAGACGATGAACTCCCGGCTTGCGTCCCTGGAAGAGAGTCGGACCCGGATGCAAGGTCAGCTTGACCTGTTGGCGCAGATGCTTCGTCCCGCGACAGTGCCAGTGGGCTCGGCGCGAGCGCCTTAATGTTTACTTGGGACGGATCCCGATACCTTTTGAGCATGCCAACATAGAACACAGGATGTGTACGCAATTTGCGCGGCAAGTTAAGCGTATACGCTGTGCCTTTCTCGGCAATGACCTTAAAGGGTCCGATAAAGCGCGGGCGAAACTTCGTCTTAAAGACAGCGGATACTACATTGGTAGGTAGATTTTTAGCATTTAATAATACTTGGTCTCCGACCTCATAATCATTAATACAACCTCTGCCTTTCGCATCTGCATATTTCTTTTGTTTATCTTGACTATCAGCCATTGCATCTTGCACATGTCGTAAGACATTTAGTCGCGTTGCGAGAAACGCATTTACCTGTTTCTTAACAGTATTAGGGCTGACATCAGTAAGCCGATCGGCAACCTCTCCCCCACCAAGCCCTGAACCACTCGGTGGTAGCGTTAACGGAACGCGTGGGTGTGTGAGGCCATTCACATAGAACGGAGTGTAGCCGGTAGAGTCGTGCACGGAATTATTGAGAGCAAACTCAACTACAGAGCATAGCGCTCCATCGCTTAGGTGTTTCAGCGCAAACTCTGCGTAGGATATCTTCAACAACGCGATTTACGCGTTCAGTTTGACCATCGGTCTGCGGATGGTCCGCTGTGGACATGTCTAAACGGGTGCCCAGCACCTGGAAGACGGACTTCCAAAATTTACTCGTGAAACGAGGATCACGATCAGAAACAATTGCCACTGGCAAGCCATGTTGGCGAAACACACGATCGATAAACAGCTCCGCTGTACCCACACCATCGATCGAATCTGGCACAGCCGCTAAGTGAGCCATCTTGCTTAAGCGGTCAACAAAGACAACAATACCTGTATTGCATGCGAATCTTTCGGTAGGCCAAATACAAAGTCCATACTAATGGACTCCCAGCACCCAGTGGGAATAGACAAACTAGCCAGCGGCACTGCCGAATGGGGCGAGGGTTTCACCCGCTGACACGTTTCACACGTACGCACATATGTGCTCACCCATTTATATAATTTGGGCCACCAATAACTTTGGCATACTGCCCCATAGGTCTTTTCACGACCCAAATGACCACCGATGGCGGTGTCATGTACCTCATAGAGGATACGATACTTCAGGTCCTCGTCATGAGGAACCACAATACGCGGGGGGTCTGCCACATCTTTACGATAGTACAACAGCCCCCCATCGATAGAATATCGATGGAGGCTAGCACGCAATCGTGCCGACAATTTAATGTCCGAGTCTTTAAACTCATCACTGCCAAGAGCATGTAGCAACGCTATACAGTGATCATCTTTAGCATACGCCGTACGGATGAGATCGGTGATAGAAGACGACAACGTCGTCACATGAGCAAGCTCATAATCAGGTCTGCGTGACAACGCATCAGCCAAAGCATTTTGCTTGCCCGGCTTATATTTCACCTCGAAATTATATTCGGCAAAGAATGACAGCCATCTGGCCATTCTCTGCGAGAGATGCGGCGACTGAGTTGCAGTGCGTAACGACGCATGATCGGTATAGATCACAAAAGGCTTTGAGCCCAGCCGATGAACTCTGAATTTGACCAGGGCATACTTCATCGCAAGCAGCTCTTTGTCATGAACTGGATAGTTCTTTTCTGCAGCTTTCAGCTGGCGAGATTCAAAAGCGACTACACGCTCACTGCCCTAATCATCTGTTTGTAACAGAGCACTGCCAATGGCAAAATCCGAGGCGTCACAGACGACACTAAACGGTCGGTCAGATCTGGCAAAGCCAAAATAGGAGCATGTAGAAGGCTCGCCTTCACCGCTTGAAAAGCGTTTTCGTGTTCGGCATGCCAACACCATTCCACATCCTTTTTAAGGAGATTGGATAACGGCCGAGCCATATCAGCGTAATTCTCACTGTACTTGTGTAAGTAATTGGCAAGGCCAAGCCATTTACGCAATTCCTTCTGAGACTGTGGAACAGGCCAATCGACTATGGCTTTGACCTTGGCGGGATCCGCTCGTAGGCCCCGTTTCCCAATGAAGCACCCTAGAAAGGGAATCTCATCGGCCCCGAAGATGCACTTAGATGCATTAGCATATAGCTTA